ACTTATTAATCTCACTACAGAACTTTTTCTTATTTTCTACAAAATTTGTTGATAACATCTCACCAGCTCTCTCATTTGCTCTCTTTTTACATTGCTTCACCACTCTCTTAACCTCTCTTTTTCTCTCCATATACTCCTCCCTCCTTGCATCGCTTCTACTTTGTAAAAACCTCTCATATGGTAACTTTTTCTCTCTTACTACTCTCTTTACATCACCATTCCATCAATCGCTCTTCTTCCCTCCCACTCCCACTTTCCCGAAACCACAAACTTCTGCTGAACACTCTAACACTATACATGTATTCTTAAACTTACTCCATGCATCTTCTGTCCCATTGCCTATACTCTCACTAGCCCATAACAGTTGTTTATATCTTACCCTAACTACCTCCCTATTTAGTTTATAAAGCTTTACCTCTCTCTTACTTGCTGCTTCCATTTTCCTTGTATCCCATCTACCTTTTACTCTCACTCTAGCTACAACTAAAAAGTGATCTGATATATCTGTGGCCCCTCTACAAACATGTACATCCTGAAGTCTACCCAACAGTCTTCTATCTACCAATACGTAGTCCAACAAACTGCTGTCATATCGCCCTACATCATGTCTTGTATACTTATTTATCCTTGTTTTCTTAAAATTTGTGTTACCTATAACCAAACCCCTTTCTATACAAAGTTCAATCAAATGCTCCCCATTATTATTTACACCTGGCACCCCAAACTTACCTACCACACCCTCTCTAAATCCTTCTCCTACTTTAGCATTTAGGTCCCCTACTACAATTACTCTCTCACTCGGCTCAAAAGTTCCTACACACCCTCTTAACATCACCCAAAATATCTCTCTCTCCTCTACACTTCTCTCTTCTCCAGGTGCATACACACTTATTATGACCCACTTTTCACATCCGACCCTTATTTCAATCCAAATAATCATTGAATTAATACATTTATATTCCCTCTTCTCTCTCCATAATTGATCCTTCAACATTATTGCTACCTCTTCCTTAGCTCTAACTCTCTCATTTACTCCTGACTTAATCCCATTTATTTCTCCCCACTGAAACTCCCCTAACCCCATTCAACTTTGTTTCGCTTAGGCCAGGTCATCCAACTTCTTTTCATTCATAACATCAGCAATCATCTTTTTCCTATCATCCGCACTACATCAGCCCACATACAAACATCCCAATTTTATGAAGTTTTTCTTTTACTTGTTTTTGATAATTTATACAGGAGAATGGGTTACTAGCCTATTGCTTCCGGCATTTAGTCGCCTCTTACGACACACATAGCTTACGGAGGAAGAATTCTGTTCCACTTCCCAATGGAGATAAGCAGAAATAAATAAGAACAAGAACCAGGAAGAAAATAGAAGAAAACCCAGAGAGGTTAGTATATACATATATATGCTTGTATATGCATGTATAGTGTGACCTAAGTTTAAGTAGGAGTAGCATAACATACCTGAACCTTGCATCATTATGAGACAGAAAAAGAGATCAGCAATTCTACCATCATGCAAAACAATTATACTCATTTGGTAGGACGGTAGTACCTCCCTGGGTGGTTGCTCTCACTCTCTCTCACTTATATAATATATATATATATATATATATATATATATATATATATATATATATAATATATATATATAAAGAAGAGAGAGAGAGAGAGAGAGAGAGAGAGAGAGAGAGAGAGAGAGAGAGAGGAGAGAGAGAGAGAGAGAGAGAGAGAGAGAGAGAGAGAGAGAGGTACGTAGTAGGGTGGTAGGCAACCACCACCCAGGGAGGTACTACCGTCTTACCAAATGAGTGTGAAATATATCGTAGCCAAGTGAGCTCACTTGGCTACGATATATTATTGACGTGTTTATTCACTCTTCCAGCGTCTGTTAATTTATCATGGTTTTAGATCATTTTAATTCATCTAAGCTGCATGTGAAGGAAAAAGCCGACTGTAGAAGTGTTAGAAATACTCCTGATTGTCGAGTACACAGAAACCAAAACATTCTGATAGCCGTGCTCCCTTTCTTCTCGCACTCCACAATGAGAGACATCATTCCGGGTTTATCAACAATGTGATTTACAATTCTTCGAGCAGGAGACTGAGCATATTTGCAACACATTTTCTTAGATTATATTAAGTATTTTATATACTCTGCTCATTTCTCGGTCAAAGATAATTTTGTTTTGGTCGATCTGAAGGAAGGTTAAATTATGAAGATGGAAATTCATTGTTCTTCCTTGTTGGCACGAATTTAAATTTGGAAATAAAAGTCTCTCCTATAATGATGTAAACATTGCCATCAGCTGTTTGAAAACCAGAGACACATTCGTAAAAAGAAAGTTATCGGAAGACACCCAGAACAACACTTACAGGCCGCCATACACCGATAATGATAAGTGTTACACTAGGGAAATAACTGAGTTTAAAAGTTGACTTGATCAACATAGATACTCTGCACCCACTGGGGACAATAATTATGCTATGCTTCATCACATAACTACGAAAATCATAAAGTTAATTTCAGTAGTATTAAAGTAGTGGCCACGTATAACAACACAGCAGAAGATTATGAAAGTGGTGATAATAAACACTGTTCCTTACGGAAAAATTAACACAAATGCAGTATAATGCGATCCTTTATTGACTACGTTTCGCCCACACAGTGGGCTAATGGTGGTCAATAAAGGATCACAATATACTGCATTTGTATTTATCTTTCCATCGTTTTCTTTTTAAACTTGGCAAGGATAAGTGAGTAACAAAAAGTAGATCTGAGGCCATCGTAAATGTTATGTTAAATCGCCTGTCCTCGTAATATGATTTACTTGTTTAAATAAGCTGGACAATTATGTGAGAGAGATGGGGTGATATCGTTACTTAATTATATACAGTACTGCCAAGATAATGAATAAAATATATGAGCTACACTTGTATATCTGGTTTACTGAGGAGTTTCCATTACGTAAGAAGCTTCTACAGTCGAATATAGAAGCGACTTTCATACTGGAGACAATGAAACAAGTAGGAAAGTAATTTTAAGGTGTTTAGTACTTTAGCAATGACTGAAGGCTAAAAGATTAAATTTATTAACAATATATATGTATATATGTATATATAACAACATATATGTATATATGAAAAGGTGCTTGCCAACATGCTCAGGGCTGTAACATCAGACAGGGAGACCGCCCGTTTCCAGGCTGTGAGCGCACATTACTCTGGGGACTTCCTCCATACAGTTCCCATGTCGGCAATGGGAATGCGCCTCGACCCTAAGACCCTCCATATTGCAGTGGCTCTACGCCTTGCTGCCCCAATTTACACGGATTATACGTGTATTTGCGGCGAAGCGCAACCCAACCAATATGGTCTACATGGTCTTAACTGTTCCAAAACCAAGGGCTGGCATGCAAGACACATTGAGGTCAACGACATCATAAAGAGAACCCTTGCTACAGCTGGATGCCCAGACGAGAGGGAGCCCCGATCACTAAGCAGCCAACAATACCCACAACCCAGCAAACCGCCCCGACGGGATCACCATCTAAACTTGGAAGAATGGCAAGCTCTTAGCATGGGACTATACCTGTGTGTCCACACTGGCTGACACCTATATCCATCACAGTGTGGGGCGACAGGGAGGAGCTGCTGACCACAGGGAGGAGTACAAGATCAGCAAGTACAGGGACATAAGCCAACAGTATCAATTTGTCCCAGTGGGATCAGAGACCTTGGGATCATGGGGAAAACATGCCACACGTTTCCTTAAAGAATTGGGTTCCAGACTCATCGACACCACCAGGGACTCAAGGGCAGCCACTTTCATGTTCCAGCGCCTCAGCGTGGCCATCCAAAGGGGAAATGCTTGTTGCATACTTTTCTCGCGTCCGGCTTCGGAGAAGCTGGAGGAAATTCATAATCTTTAACATATTGAACCAATGTATTCATGTTTGTGTTTTCTGTAAATGTATTCTGTCTATTAATAATTTTTTCCCTAGAATATAAAATATAGGGGGTGGTAGGAAAAGAAAATACTCAAATAGGTCCGGGGAGAACCTTGAGTTTTTCCTGAGGTACTTTTATTGTCTTCTCTAAGGATGAGGGTCCCCAGTAAAGTTCTATAGGTGGTACCTTTGAATATATATATATATATATATATATATATATATATATATATATTATATATATATATATTATATATATATATATAATATAACATATATATATATATATATATATATATATATATATATATATATATATATATATATATATATATATATATATATATATATATATATTATATATATATATATATGTTGCTTTACTTTCTATTGTATTTTTGTGAATGTTTTGTCAATGTATTTTGTCTTTAAATAAAATATATATTAAATATAAGGGGTGGTAGGAGAAAATACTCAAACAGCTTCAGACCTCCCTATATATATATATATATATATATATATATATATATATATATATATATATATATTATATATATATATATATATATAAATTCATCAATTTCCACATTTTTTCCATTTGTTGTTTGTGACGCTTTTCTGTCTTCAGAGATAGCAGTAAATATGAAAATCTTGTTAGAGTTAAGATAGTGGTTGAGAGTGAAGATAGTGGTTGAAGAGAGTGTTAACAGTGGTAGAGGGTGGTGAGAGTGGCAGAAGGTGAAGATGATGGTACAGGGAAGAGATGAGTGTGAAGAATGGTAGCGGCAAATTAGACGAAAACAAGAGCAGTGCTTTGTTTTAAGAAGCATGTGACTAGTCACATGCTTCTTAAAAAACCCGTCTCCAGCCTCGGCTATCTCAGGAGACTAGAGAAAAACCAGAAATCTAGAAAAAATTAATGGTGGGGTAGGAGGAGCCAGCAAAAGTTGGCCTTGTAGCTAGTGTGTGTACGTGTGTATGTACGTTTATCGTGTGTGTACGAGAGTATGTACGTTCGTGTGAGAGAGGTGAGGGCGAAAGAAGCCAACTCAGGTATCGTCAGTTCAACACCAGCCGTCAGTACAACAAGACGTGCTGGGCCCCGCTCCCCGTGGCCACCTCGCCTAGCGACTCCAGTCCCTAGACTCAGCCTCCAGACTGAAGCTTCAACATAGCCGATATCTGCCGTTTGAAAGAACGTCTTTTGCTGTTATTTCCCTGCTGTAAGGAAGACTTTATCGTCTACCGACAGCTCTGCAGGAGAAGCGAGAGATCTCTCGTGTTCCTACACCAGGAGAAGCTACAGATCTGTGCGAGTCATCTCAGCTCTTAAGGAGTGACATTGTCAAGTCCGAGGAGAGACATCAGGGAAGAGATGGAGTCTTTTGGAGAGTTGTTCAGCACTACTGAGGAGCGGGTAGACCCTGTTCCTGCCAAGCTAAAAGGTGAGTCTACCCCCTCTACTTTCCCCTCTCTCATCTACTTCGCCTTCCCCTCATATCTAGCCCCCTCGCTCTAGTATCTGTCCCGACTTTCCTTCTCCCTTTCATCCCTCTCTCGCATTTCCGTCTCATGTATATCTTCTCTGTCTTCTCTCATCTTCACCTTTTCCTTACTTCACGTTTTGTTTTAAACCTTCCATGCTCCTGAAATCATTATAAATGTCTTTATAAATTAAGCTTGTGTAGCGAAGTGCTTATTTGTATGCATATCAAAAGCAAATATAAATTATATACATAATATATATATATGTTGTGTGTATGTATGTTGTAGAATCAGACTTGGGAGTAGAGAGGAAACAAGAGATAACATCAGTAGGGTGAAGGCTAAATGGGGTTGAATCGTTAACGGTGCTCTTCTGGGAGGTTTCCTGGAACCTTCGCCTTTTATAATATACAAAAAAAAAAAAAAGAAAAATGACAGACAACGCGGCAACATAAATGCACACAGACAATAATAAGACGCAATGCAAATTTAAGGTAGAACAAGTGAGATACAGGAAGAGAGTAATAAGTTCCAGGTTTGACAATAGAGTAATGCGGTGCGCTGCAGACACTTGATATGAAAGCTGTGAAGAATTTATGGGTTAAGGTAACAGAGGAGAGTAGCGTGGCTGTCTAGTGATAAGCGGACGAAGGATCGAGCCTCCATTAGTTCTCTTGAAGAAACCTGGTCATGGACCGGCCCGCGGGGGCGTTGACCCCCGCAACACCCTTCAGGTATACCCGATTACCTTTCGTTCCCAAATTCCCAAGAGCTGTATGATCCCTAATGGGTTTCAGCGCTTTTCATTGATATAACAATTATAATACATCATTCCTCGCGCTGAATAACTCGTCATACATAAGTATACCTCCGTGTATTAACATAGACACCAAAAGTAAAGGTAATTTGCTCTGATACATAACAGGGTTAGAAATCTAAAAAGGTTACTAATTTGGATTCCTTAGTAACAATAATAATTCGATTTGTACTGAGCAGTTCAGCCTATCAAACTGCAGCAGGATCCTGTTAAAAACATATCCTGCATGAGAAATATTTCGTACGAAGATATATGAAGAACATTGAAATTATATTCTCCTAAGAGGCGTGAAAGAAAGTCTGATAAGATGATTGTATAAAAAAATAAGAGACTTGAAAAACAATGGACATAATAAGGTGTTGAAAAAATAACTCGAGTTTAAATGTGATGCAGTTGACAGATTTGTATTCAAACAGTGTTAAGAGTGTTGTTGTTGTTGTATGTGTCAGTAAGGTTTATCGACGGCACCAGACACATGTTTAAGACATGTTCACCTTGACCAACTAAAATGGCGTGTATCGTACACTGAAGATGTGTACCTCCTGGTGCTCATTGTTTACCTTACAGAACCTACAGTCTCGTTCATGCATTTAAATACTGTGTACACACACACACACACACACACACACACACACACACACACACACAGGTAGTGATAACGAGGAGACGGGTGGCGGGATGAGGAAGGAAATAGGAAAAATGTGGCTTGTAAGAGTCGGAACACGTATGTAGTGGCTCCCGTGAGCCTAAAATTAGATAGGTAGAAGTACGAAGGACAAGTGACGTCAGTGGAGGTAGGAGTTTAGACCGGTTTTTCTGAGGTGATTATTGAGGCTCTATATGACGACCACTATAAGTGGTGATTATGCTCACCACTGTCTCTGTGTGTCCTTGTCTGTCTCTGTATCCCTGTCTATCTGTCTGTCCTTGTCTGTCTGTTTCTTCACAGGGTTTTACAAGGTTAGGTTAACGTTCCTAGGAGCTGTTACCTACTTCAACTCATTTGAAAGTCAACGTGTCTCTCTCCCTCTGTCTGTCTCTCTGCCTCTGTCTGTCTGTCTCCCTCTGTCTGTCTGCCTCTGTCTGTCTGTCTCTCTGACAACAATATTACTATTATGTTTCATTGCATCGTGATATAAAAAGATACAATCACACTAAGGAAGAAAGATGGTTGCTGAATTGAGTCAGGCATAACTAGACGAAATCTATCAAAGATTGCATGACAAGTGCACACAGAGTTGACCAACAGCAATTTAAAGCAGGCAGGTCATTCATGAGTTTCCACCACCAATGTATAATAACGCTCAACTATGCTCCTCACTTACTGTCGGTGTTTATTCATTCCATTGATGACTACACTCACCTTACTCAGAGTTGTGCTGTACAATGTTAATCAAGAGTGAGAGTAATATAGTTTACCCTGAGAGACACAGTGTTGCCTTTATATATGTGTCATGTGTGCAGTAGTGCCAAGCTTATACATGCGATGTAGTGCCAAGTTTATACATGTAGTGCAATGCCAGAGTTATACATGTGCAGCAGTGCCAGGCTTATGCATGTGATGCAGTGCCACGTTTATATATGTGATGCAGTATCAAGCTCGTACATGTGATACAGTGCCAGGCTTATACATGTGCAGCAGTGCCAGGCTTATACATGTGATGCAGTGCCACGTTTATATATGTGATTCAGTGCCAAGCTCATACATGTGATGCACTGTAAGGATAATACACATGCAGCAGTGCTAAGCCCATACATGTGATGCAGTGCCAGGCTTATACATGTGCAGCAGTGCCAAGCTCATACACGTGCAGCAGTGACAAGCTTGTACAACAAGTAACGTCAGTTGTATTCACGCGTAAAGAATATCCACAGAGAGGAATTTATCTCAGTGTATATACTGTGAAAGATGTGTATCTCTCAGAGTATATACACCGAGAGGTGTATGTCTGTGTATATATACACACACTGAAAGTTTATTGAAGCCCTATTTACAGAGATTATACAGTGGACCCCCGGTTAACGATATATTTTTCACTCCAGAAGTATGTTCAGGTGCCAGTACTGACCGAATTTGTTCCCATAAGAAATATTGTGAAGTAGATTAGTCCATTTCAGACCCCCAAACATACACGTACAAACGCACTTACATAAATACACTTACATAACTGGTCGCATTCGGAGGTGATCGTTATGCGGGGGTCCACTGTACTATTGTTTACTTAATTGTTGAGTGAGACTGAAGCTTTCAGGATCATCGTAAACTAACACCAACACTAAGGTAGTTCTCACTTGAACGTATCGTTCCATAACTCGTTGAACGCGCCGTTCTGAAAATATGGACTCGTTGAACGTACCTGAACCTCTTAAATCCGTTGAATGATGAAAGCATTGTCATAAAACTCTCAACTCGCTCAACGTACCGTTCTGAAACGCATGACTGATTGAATCTTTTTGTTCTCTTGAGGTTTTGACTCGTTGGAGGTACCGTTCTCAAACTTGCAACTCGTTGAGGGTACCGTTCTCAAACTTGCAACTCGTTGAGGGTACCGTTCTCAAAATTGCAACTCATTGAAGGTACCGTTCTCAAACTTGCAACTCGTTGAAGGTACCGTTCTCAAACTTGCAACTCGTTGAAGGTACCGTTCTCAAACTTGCAACTCGTTGAAGGTACCATTCTCAAACTTGCAACTCGTTGAAGGTACCGTTCTCAAACTTGCAACTCGTTGAGGGTACCGTTCTCAAAATTGCAACTCATTGAAGGTACCGTTCTCAAACTTGCAACTCGTTGAAGGTACCGTTCTCAAACTTGCAACTCGTTGAAGGTACCGTTCTCAAACTTGCAACTCGTTGGAGGTACCATTCTCAAACTTGCAACTCATTGAAGGTACCGTTCTCAAACTTGCAACTCGTTGAGGGTACCGTTCTCAAAATTGCAACTCATTGAAGGTACCGTTCTCAAACTTGCAACTCGTTGAAGGTACCGTTCTCAAACTTGCAACTCGTTGAAGGTACCGTTCTCAAACTTGCAACTCGTTGAAGGTACCATTCTCAAACTTGCAACTAGTTGAAGGTACCGTTCTCAAACTTGCAACTCGTTGAAGGTACCGTTTTCAAATTTGTAACAAGTTGAAGGTACCGTTCTGCAACTTGCAACTCGTTGAAGGTACCGAGGTACCGTGCTCAAGATTGCAACTTATTGACGGTACCGTTCTCAAGCTTGCAACTCGCCGAAGGTACCGTTCTCAAACTTACAACTCGTTGAAGGTACCGTTCTCAAACTTGCAACTCTTGATGGTTAAGCTGTTATTTCAGTAAAGTTTATATTATAGGAAATTAAATTATCAGGGGTAATAGAGGAAGTATTACTGGACTCTAGATCAGTCAGTATATCTCGTGTTCACTTGCGTTCATCTAATTGCGCTCACTTCATCGTGTTCATTTTCATTAAAATGCGTTCAACTTGCTGCATTCGCCTCATTTCCTTCATTTAATTGTCTGCGTTGCTCTAGCTCTTGAGCCCAACCTTTTGTATTTCACTTATTAAAGTGACCTACTCCTTGCTTTTTCGGGCTTTCTTCTATCTTCTTCTGAACGTAAGTGTTCACTTGGCCTTCACCACAGCATTGCCTGATGAATTAAATTTGTTCACTTCCTTCATATTGAAGGACTACTGATTCTGAGCTCTACGTGTCAGCCAGTCAGCATATCTAGTGTACAGTGCTGCCCTTCTATCTTTGTTTTTACTGAGCTAAATATGTCAGCTAGTCAGCATATCTAGTGTACAGTGCTGCCCTTCTATCTTTGTTTTTACTGAGCTAAATATGTCAGCTAGTCAGCATGCCTTGCATACAGTGTTGCTCTTCTGTGTCCATTTCTTGGCTCGATGTTTATGTTTGAGTCATTGTGTTTATTGCATCGTTTTTCTTTTTGTTTTCATCCTTAGCTATGTTTTTTTTAATTAAGCCATTGTACCGGATTTGTTGCATAAATGCAGTTTAATTTATATAAAGTTTTTATCTAACTCTAAAACAAGTTTTTTTTTTCCTCACCTTGCAGACCGTATAACGAATATTGTTTTAATAACACAACTGTTGAGTTGTTCCTGAAAAACCCGTTATTGTCTCTTCAAGTCTTTGTTTT